TTGAGGTTGAGGGTTCGATAAGGGTTACCAGAGAGGTTGCTACAAGGGGTCATAGGATGTTAGGACTTCAGGCTTTTTAAGGTTTAATTCTCCTGTCAGGGTATAGGATTTCGGCTTCAGGTCGTTGTAGGTTCATTGAGGTTTCGGAGTTGGGGCTTGCATTCAAAGATGGCATCCAGGTTCACCTTTGTCGGGGGCTTGCGAGGCAAGAGTATGGCCGGCGGCGCAGGGTTTATAATGTAGGGGCCTACGTAATTACCAATAATATGTTGGGGGTTCCTTACTACATAATTATAGTATAGCGGGCCCCCAAAAGCCTATTCCAATTATTAAGGCCCCTATGTTAGGGTTGTTGCAGCCTTTCGTACCGCTGGCCTTCAACCCCCAAACTCGAAAAGCCAAAGCGATCAAACCACGACCCTGCCAAGCCCTAATATCCTAAGCCCTCTCAAACTTGCAGGGGCTTCCGGGTCTGCGGAAACCTGTCATAACAATAAGACTAGCACAGTTCGTGACAACCATACTCACAACAAGACTAATGCCCGAACCATAACCCTAGCCGCTAAACCCGAAGCCCTAAACCCTTAAACTCTAAACCCCTAAAGCGGAGGCGCGGTTGGAAGCCGAAGGGAGCGAAGTGAGGGAGGTGGATGAGGGCAGTTGGCGGATCTACTTGAAAGGCCGGGGACCGGTGGGGTTCGGGGGGGTTTAGGGTTTAGGGGTCTTCAAAATCGGAAAGGGGTTCCGTTCAAGGGGCGGTACTCGAAAGGCAGGGGACATGAATGTTGGTCTTCATAATTGGAATTGGGTTCCGTTGACGGGGCGGTACTTGAAAGGCAGGAGACAAGAAGAGGGGTCTTCATGATCGGAATAGGGTTGCTTTAGAGGGAGTTTTCTGCTACGAGGCTTATTCTAGGGTGTTGTATAGGGCCTCAATAGCTGGAACAGGGCTCCTGTGGTCTATTATACCATAATTACCAAAGGGGCCCGAAGAAGCACGATGGGCTTCTGCATTGGGTGAAGTCTTGGGGGATTTAGGTGTTTCGGTTACAAGGGGCTTTATGGGCTTAGGGTGCGGAGTTGGGGCTCAAGGGTTTGGGCAGGGTAAGGTTCAAGGCTTTGGGTTTGTAGGCCTCGAGTGGCAAATATTTACAGATGATGTGCCTGCAGCATAGTGGTCTAGGCATGAGGTTCCGGGGTTCCGAGATGAATTTCTTGCAGGGCTGCAAGGGCTTGAGGGTAGTTGGTTGGATCACCCACTCGGGTTTTGGGCACCCCAAGCCCTGCACCCGAACTGCGGTGCGGGGCTGACAGCTTGGTAATCCACATGTTGAAGGAGGCTGCAGGGCCTGCATTTTCGGGTGGAGAAGTCCACATCCTCAAGCCCGACAGAACCCTAGACTTCCGGTCGGATCCGAGTGTTTGGCCCTAACGTGGAGGTTATTGATCAGGAGTCCACATCTATAGTATCGCTTCGGGTGAATGGATAGTAATGTACTTGCCTAAAAAAGGCCTAGGCCCTAGACGATGATGACCCAAGTATCAGGCCCAAACCCTGAACCCTAGAGTCGAAGCCCATGTACCAGGACCCGCCAATGGTCCTTAAATAGAGCCCTTATGGTCCCTAATAGTGGGTATTTATATAAGGGATAATAGAGGGTAGTTGGGGGGGGTCTAGGTAGTTAAAAAAACCTAAGACTCAGGCTCCAACTTCCCGGGACTCACCATGTCCCGTGCATTTGGAGACACGGCCTGCGCCCGGAACCCTGGATACATGCGTGGTTGAGCACTCACGTAGGGTTTAGGAGTTTAGGATTGTTTTTCCTGTGGAGTTCGAGGCTTATGTGCGAAAGCCGTAAAAGCCGAAAGCGTGCAAGAGCCCAGACAGAACACCCGCTTTTACTCTTTTGTTAAATTTGTTAGCACGTGGGCTGTTTTGTTTCTGCAACTTGTTGGACATGTGTCAACCCGGGATCTGGCAAGGGGCATTAGCAAGACTCTAGGTTGAGGCGGGATGCATACGGGCTCCCAATTGGGCCTGAAGTTTGCAAAGTGCTGAAGCTGGGCTTTGGAGGCACGCAATGTCTAGTTGGAGCTTGGATCTTGGATGGTGCGAATGCGGCGTTCGCACAATGCTTATAGCACAATGTCTCTGCGACTGAGATGCTTGCGACATGACTTCCGTGTTTCGCTAGGGCTGTTGTACTCTCCTGTGCTGCTAACCCGGTGGGCTTTGTAGGCCCCGCGCCCCAGAATTCGAGCTAAAACTCTGTTTCGAGGCTTCGGATGCCTTGTTAAACGAGGGTAGTTCCATGGACCGAAGAGACTAACACTGCTGTTTGTTGGCAAGCCCAGTGCCCCTAAAGCCTCAAAGCCACAAGTTTGACAAGACGAAGGCCGGTATCTCCCGTGATCCCGAGTACCACAAGTTTTTGATGCAGCCGAATGACCAGTGGTATGCCATTGTGGCCTCTGATGGCATCTGGGATCCTCGTCGGCATTCCATCGTCAAGTCGAAGAGCACTGGGACAAACAGCTACACTACAACATAAGGTTGACCAGCGTCGTCATTTTTAATCGATGCCTCTTCCATGGGAACGGGATGCTGCCACTACCACTGCCGTAAGTGGTACCTTTCCCTTTGCGCAACCACTGCTCTCAGCTGCTTTCGGTGACAGGTGTAACCATCATAGATGATGCTTGTAGATGCCTTCTGGGCGGGCGTTTGTAGATGCTACTACTACATCGTCTCTGGCTGTTATTGCAACGAAACTCCAAGCCAAAGCTCGCACCTGTAGCCCAAACTGGAGCATCGGGAAGCTTAGTTACAAGGTAGAGCCCCTGCAGCAGCTTTGTCATTGGAGTCGACTTTAACAGTGTACTATCCCCTCCCTACACAGCCCGATGAACCTCCTTGATTACAGCCCTAAACCCAAACCTGTAATGCCAAATGCCACCAGCGCCAAACCCGCGGCTTCAAATCCTGCAAGTGAATTTCCACGTGAGAGAGAAGCCGTCAGAAACGTCCTGCAACGACAAATCTTGGCTTGCAGTGATAACCGAATGTTGGCAACCCACAAGCCACGGAGTGTCCCAAGTGTAAACCCTTGGAGCCCTAAAATCCTCCCAGGAGTTCATAGAAGGAGAGGAGTGCTGCAGCCTCACTTCGAAGAAGCTTCGGCTGAAGGGTCCAAGAGAAACAGCGCCTTGGACAGCATTTGGGTCTTTTTCTTGTCAGAGTTACGGGGTTACTTGATACTTGATAGGTTTTTGTTGCGAGAGTTTGGGGTTTAGCTTGAGTTGGGCTGTTCAGGCACTGAGGTCTTAAGCACTTGAATCCGGACCTTGCGGACAGCTTTATAATGATTGTCCTCAGTTCCACTGCTCACGACAAATTGATAACGCATGCTGCGCGTGGTTTCAGGGAGCTCTTGTTCCGCGTGCTTGTTCCTATGGCCACTCAGTCACTAGTGTTTTGACGCCGTTGCATCCGGACTTTCTTGCCGCCACAGTTTAACAAGCAAGGAAAGGATTGTTGTTGCTGCGACAAGCTAAACCCTAAACCCGCAAGGCTAAATGCTTGCTCCGCAGATGCACCTTGCAAGTTTTCGAGTCCACCAGCGAAAGACAGGTTGAGTTCATCACGACAGCCAGCCGCAAGCGATGGGCCCATGTTTGTGGCGACTATTGTGACGACATCACAGCTGTGCTGGTTTCTTGACTTTACCTTGCTGGCAACTAAGTTTTGTGAGGGCGTTAACAAGCATATTAATGCGTTCCTGTCGAAATTACATGGCGAATTACGGAGGTGTCTGTAGCAGAGACCCGGGGTGAAGGGCTGAAGGTTGGGGTGGATATACAAGTCTTGAAAACAACTACTCTTTGCTTGCTAGCCTCTCCTCAAGTATAGCAAAAGAGAACTACGCCCAAACCCTGTCTACTAGTACGTACTTCGCCCCCATGCACCCATATTGCGAGAACATGTTTCTGATCGTGGCAACTTTGCGGAGAGCCCACATGTGAATCGGCATCTTGCTGTGCACTTGTGAGAGCAGGTGTTGCGTTGAAGGTAAGGTGTCTAGGACACAAGAGATGGACCAGGCCATGCTAGGTGATTCCGAACAGGTCTAGAAAGCCGAATTACAGACCACAGTGACTTGCTTTGTACATACAGGTAATGCTACTGCGTCAGCGTTCGTTCAAGAAGAAAGTGTCTCAGTGGACGCGATGGAGTTCAGGTCCCAATCGCCCTTACACCCAATAGCTTATACCCAAAAGCAAAAGCCGCAACCCAGATTCAGTGGAACACCACGCCGCCAGAAGGAGGCCCTGTTGTGAACATGTTGAGAGTTTCAGGTTTCGTTCTCCGGCCGATGAGGCGGTAAAAGAATAGGATGAACAGATATGACAACAAAAACGCATCAGTAATTAGCGAGATACTACGGTTAATACTACGACTACGACATATAATTGCATCCACGGCAAGAGCCGCATTGCGATTTTGTGTGCCGTAAACCACACTCTCTGTCTGCGATGATTTCATCGCGATTACCATCCCCATCTCGCGGAGCCTAAGTCTAAGTCAAAGGTGCACATGCAGTTTATGGCGCACGCAGCATGGCAATCCAATGCATTCGCCCTCGAGTCGTTCAGGGCACTTTTCTGCCCTCACGGCCACAAACCTGAACCCCAGTCCTCTCCTTTGCTGAACCTGAACATTAAGCCCCAAGTAGCTGCGTATTCCGGCACGTCTTCTGACAATGACCAGGTATTTTGGCTGCTTCCGGCTATGATGAAGCGAACACAACGGTTCTGATGCTTGATGCATGATGACGATGGTCACCATTGCCGTCAAGATGAGGATGGTGATGGCCAGGATGATGATGATGATGATGATGATAACCATCATCACCATCATCATCGTGATGTTGCGGATGGCGGCTGCCAACATCGGTCAATTGTGTTTGGGTTTTCTCGATTTCTCCGACCATCTTGTTCTCGCCTTCGACGCAGGTACCAACAATCACATGATGAGCGTGCGCCAATTCCAGCCACCATCGTCGTGATCTGATGACCGGAGTGGCCGGAGACCACAGCAGAGATCACTCAACAAGCGACCTCAGAAAATGATGGCCACTGGCAGCCTCATGACTTAAGCTTACAGTGTATGGGTTCGATCCAATAAGGCCCAAGGGTTCCGAAGCCCACTTAATAAGCTTGATCAGTGAACGGTCTTTGTCGAGTGATGTGGCTGTTGAGTCTGCGGCGCGAATGGCAAAGCAGTTTCACTCTTTCACCTTCAGTGCCCTGGCTGCATCCTAAGTCCTTGGATTTTTGTTGGGGATGTTGCTGTGTGTAGCAAGGGAAAGCCTCGAAGGAATATCAAACTACGAAAATCCTAAGCCGCCTCACGAAGCCCTCCACAACTCACAACCTACGCACTTGTTCAGGGTTATGCACAGGACATCAATGCTTCATGAGGCTTGCTACGAAAGAATGCTTGGACCCCCGATCTTTCTTGTAGTAGTAAGCATCCCAGTAGCAGTACCAGCTACCAGCATGGTAGCAATGATCTTCTGTTGCAGAAATGATGCTTGTTTGCCGGTCTCCAGGTTTCTTCTTGGACTGCTGTAGATGGGAGTTTCCGAAAATAGGGGGTACCTTATTTTGGGGTCCTTATAATAGGGATCCTACTATTTAGGGTACTATATTAGGGTCCCCTATTTTCGGAAACCCCCAGATGGAGTGCTTGAAGATTTCGGCGCGTCACGGCCGTAGGACCCTGTCGGGCTCCATGTTGTCATAGTCAGAACTCGTGAATGCAGGCCTGACAAACCATGGCATTTGCGTTACTTAATGGCCCTTGCAGTACCTAATGGCCCTTCACGTAGTATGAAATCGAGTTCACATCGATCAGCTGTGTGGGGCTGGGGCACGGGTGTTCACAGGCCTGCGCTGCTCGAAGTTTAAGACGCATCGGGTTCGAAGATAGCTAGGCCAGCGGCTAGGCTGCCAAGTTTGGGAACAAGGGACTATAGTGACTAGGACTCATCTTTTGCGCTCGACCTCGACTTGCTTGGGGACCTGTCTAGTTTTACGCAAGTCTCAGCAATCGTTGGTGGGGGCAGTGGCTGTGGTTTTGTGCGAGAGGCAGGTCAAACCAACCCGCCAGACCTGTTCCCAAGAAATGCATGCATCTGTGGTAAGTGACGGAAATGTAAACGACACATATACACATGGCCAAGCAAGAAGAACGGTGGTGATTGCTGCTACTAGATTTATTGAATTACCTTCCTCATCATAATTGTTCGGTTGATCTGATCATAAGAATTGTTCGGTTGATTTACAGCTCATACATTCATGAATACCGCGCTGAGAATTCTGAAGCTCATATGGCAAGCCGTGTTATCACAATGAAGATGACGACAGTCATCCCCGAACCCTCAACTCCCCAAAGCTACGCCCCAAACCCCAAGCCCTGGATCATGCCCCCGAAGCAAAAAAACAAAGACACTAAACCCTAACTACCCCTAAACCCTAAACCCCTAAACCCCTAAACCCCTAAACCCTAAAACCCGCAGTCAAGAAGCTCCTGCAGAAAGCCAACCAAATCCCAGACAGCGGCAAGTCGCTGAAAATCTGGTCTTCGCCAGTCCTCCAAGGAAGCCGCCCGCCGCCAACGCGGTTAAGTGCCTCGAGGTGCTTGTTTTGGGCGTTACTTTGGAACATTTTTTCGGTTAGATAGTATACTTGAGACCGTTCATGACAGCTTTGTTGCCATTTGGGAGAGTAAGAGGCTTATAGTGCTGTTTTGTTGGCCAAAAGCAGTCGAGCATGAACGCTTGCATTGTAAGTATATCCCTTGTTTTCTTCTTATCAGCCACACCAAAGACTAGTCTAATTGTCCACGCCACGATCATTCAATTTTAAAGGCTGTGCACATCAGCCTGAAAGGCTGTTTGGAAGAAGGCTCTTACTACTCAACTACTCAGGACGCGTACTACCCAGTTGTACCCCTCTGATTGTCAGTCAGGGCGTAGAGTGTTGGGATGAAGGTTCAGACTGCTGTGTCGAAAGTATATAGATACCTCTTAATGCTGATTCAGGCTCCCCTATAATCCTAAACCCTAAAACCTAAACCCTTAACCCTATTATCCTAATGTCAGTGATGGTCCCCTAAAAAACTAAACCCCAAAGTCGAGCCTCCGGTTTGGATACCTGAAAGATCCAGGGGCCCACAGGCTCAAAACTCCAAAGCCGCAGACCCTACCTGAACCCTGAAGAACCCACCTTTTAGGGTTCCTTCTTTTGTTGGCCTTTTTTTTTGAAAACGTAGCCCTTTGTGTTCGGTTAGGGTAGACCCTGGGCTATGGAGATGGCTTGCATAACCCCGAAACTTAAGCCCTAAACCCTAAACCGTGCCCTAAACCCTAAACCCTCTAAACCCTAAACCCTAAACCCTAACCCTAAACCCCAGAGCTTAAGTTTTTGCCTCGCCGGCCCCTGGGCCTGAGAGCAGCGTCAACCTCCGAAAATCGAAGCCCCCTAGACT